TTCTGTTTTGTTTCTTATTAAAAAAAAAAGAATTATTACAACTTTTAATCACATGTGATTCAGTGATTGCGTTTAAAGTCACCTAACTCTATTTAAATTAATTTTAAGAAGAAAACTCATACAACTTGACAAACAAATGTACACCATGAAAAAATAAGTAATTTAATCTGGTTAGTTAAAAGAGATAACAATGCCGCATATGAGGGCTGTTGATTAAGCTGATTATTATATACATTCATCATCTAATTAACTATATATTAGTATATCATATAAGCTATATATTATTAACATTTGAAGAAGGTTCGTTCACTGAAATAATTGCCAATTGAATATTGATCCAAGGCCCACAAAAGGTTAGTCAAGTTAAAGCAAGTATTCGGCCTATGATTTTTAAGTTGTGTATTTAAATCTTATTATTGATATAAAGATCTTGTTAGTTGACAATATAGAAACACTCTTTAAGGTTAAAGACATACCTTAATCCTGATAGAGTTTTTAAATCCAAACTCACATATGCTTTATGTTAATAAAAAAGATTAAATAACAAATTTGTTCTTAAATTATAGATTAAAGAGCACTTGGGATCCTAAATTTATTTTTGTTGTAGTGTTCTTTTTTAACATTTCAAAATGATACAATATGGCTCCTATTGTAAATAAATGTTATCTTTGATGATTAGTTAACTAAAAAATTATAGAAAAAGACCAAAAAAATTACAAAAAAGAATTCAATAAGAACACTAATAACTTTTTTGTAATTTTCTTAGTTCTTTTTTGAGATATTTTTTTTTATAATTCTTTTGTCAACTAACAATCAATGTTAACATTTATTAACAGTAAGAATAATATTGCATCGCTTTTGAAATGTTAAATGAAAATATTGTATAAAAATAAGTTTAGGATTTTCGATATTTCTAGACCTAAAGCATATATAATTGATTGTATAAATTAAAGATGTAATGGGAAGGGGATTTTCATAAATCACCGACCTAGAAGCATTCATTAAATCTTGCTAGCTTCGATCACTACATCAATTAGGTGCATATTGTCGTACCAGGTTTAAATGTAGGATTGCATGTGGCTTGCTTAATATGAACCAGACCCAATTTCCACGCGTTTCTACAGAGCATCTTTTAAACTTAATTAACAGAATGATTATGATACATGTTATATTAGTGGTAGAATTAATGTAAAAAATTTATACTAGGGAATAATAACATTAATATGAAGTGGAATACTATATTAAAAAGTAAAATTCTAATACACAGACATATAGTACCTGTGAGATACATAGTGATGTGCAATGTGATATCTCTTACCAAGCACCACTGATATCTATATAATTGATCAATATTCAATATAATTCTTATAGTCATAAAAAATTTGTTATTTACAAACTATAAATAATGTGACTCGCCTTCAATTTAATATAAACATATGGGTTTTTGAAACAGTTTTATACTTCCATTCAAAATGCAAGAGCTTATACTTAAGGGTTAAAAGGGAAAAAATACCTTGAAATTTTTTTTTAGGAACACCTGACATTTTAAACTTTTTTGAAGCATTTTTGCCTTGAAAAGTTTAAAAAGAGAGTATTTTTACCCTATCATTAAAAATTGTAAACTTTGACCGTTAAATTAAAGTTTGACCAATGATATTTTTGTATTTTTTTCCCTCTTTCATTTTGTGTTTAGTTTTTGATTTTATTTTTCAGTGATTTTTTTAATTTTTTTTCCAATGAATGAAAACAAAAACCAAAAAAATGTAGCAACGAAGGAGGGTAAAATGATAAAATACCTTAGTTAAATTTCAATTAACGGTCAACTTTCTCCATATTTAATGGTGGGACAAAATACTCCAAAAAAAAAAGTTTAGAATGCCAGGCGCTTTTGGAAAAAAAAATTTAGGATATTTTTGCCCTTTAACCCTATACTTAATTTACATATTTTTTTAATAAATTAAGTTAGTTATTTGTAAAAATGTGTATTTTTCCTAAAATTCCATTCATTTTAATCATTTATATTGAAAATTTTGATGCGTGCAATCAATATCAGTAGGTTGTGAAAATAAATAAATAAGAGAGACAAAGAAGATTGAGGTCATATATTTAAAATCAAAATAAATTCTTACTAGCTCTTGCATCATTGGAAATATAAAATATTTTTAACCAAATTACACTACTATCTTTCCATGTCTATATTTATTTAATAGAATATTTTATTTAAAAGTAAAAGGTTGAGTGATTGATTCATTAAGGGTATTTTTTAATGGGAGGATCTTTTTAGGGGAAAACCTTAAAATGTTTGTAGTCAAATATATTATCTACCATAACCACATAGAGTTTTAAGGAAAAGTAACGTTTATGGGTTGTAAGTTTGTAAGTATAAAAGCAGACATATTAGTCCTAGCGATGCAGCTAAACTAATTAAGTGTATTTTGAATCTATTGATAGATGATTTTGTTTTGTAACAACTATCAACTAGGTAGACCCAATATTTCACGTGAGTTACATTTTTCAAAGTTACAAATAGTATAATCTTATATTTCATATCAAAGATATTAGTAATAAAGATATCAAAGACAAAATTTCAACTCTATATATATATATATATATATGGGGTACTCTTTTATTTTGCGAAGTATAAAGAGTAATATATGAAGCTACTCTTTTTTTTTTTTTTGAAGTCTATCATCTAGTCCTGATCATCGCCATTAGTCCGGTTCTGATGGAAGTTGACCATCCAATCTCAATCATCGTCGTCGATTCAATCCCAGTGAAAGTTGGCCATTTGCTTCTAGTAGAGTCGAGAATAAAGGCTAGGCTTGGAGTTCCTGATTAAATAAAAATTCAAGCTTTAAAAATAAATTTTTTTTAAAGTAATCGAGCTTGAGGGCTTGACCCTGATAAACCCTGTAAAAAAAGGTTCGGGTTTAGACAGCCCTTCAAGCCCTGTTACATAATTATTATTATTATTTTCTTTGGCGGAACACATGTTTGAAATCAATGACCTACTCACCTGATCCTACACACATTATACTATTATTAATTTTAATTTATTTTAAAATTAATTTAATATAATTTAATAAATATCGGTGTATAGTATAAAATTTATGATATTTTTTATTTTTCTATAATTATTATTTTTGTGTATTTAAAAAAATGAACTATTTTTAACCAAGATTTAAATTTTATTACTAAACTTCTAAATGTATGTTGTTTAATTTTTAAAAAATTATGAGAATTTTAATTTTTTTAATTTTAAAATATTTTAATTAATTTATAATGTTTAATTTTATTTTATTTTTGAAAAAGGGTTGGCGGGCCCGACCCTGAGCCCTTCACATAAGAGCCGAGCTTGGGAAATGACACTCAAAATAGAAAATCGAGCTTTAGGGCTTAGGCCCTCAAGGGCCGCACCCACCCGTATTTCCAGCTTTAGCTCCTAATTGTTACTATTGGTCTAGACTCGGTGGAATTCAGCTGTCCAATCTTGGTGGTTGCTATCAGTTTGGTCCCTATGGAAGTCAACCTTTTGGTCCCAATGGTCAATGCCAATCCAATCTTAACGGAAGTCAGCCATCTGGTATCAACCATTGTCATCTGTTCTGTCCCGATGAAACTCGACCGTTCAACCCCAATCAATGGTGGTAGCTTGGCTGTGTCAATTTCGACGGTCCAATCCAATTACTGTTGGTAAGTCAATCAAGTCTTCATGAATTTGAGTCAAATTATAAAAAAGATTGAATTAAAATTTAAAATAATAAAAGTTTATAAATGATTTTAAATTACAAAAAGATTGAGATAGAACTTGAATTTGAATTTGAATCAAATTCAAATCTATATATTTTTAATTATTCAAACAATAAATTTGGTTTAAATTTAAATTCATATATATCCAAACATAGCATTAGTGCATTTTAAATTTATTGTTTGGTGATTTTGTTATGTAACAACTATCAACTAGGTGGACCTAACATTTCACGTGATTTACATTTTTCAAAGTTACAAATAATATAATAATTTCATATCAAAGATATTTGTAATAAAGATGCCAAAGACAAAATTTCAACTATGTATATATATGGGGGTACTCTTTTTTTTTTTTTTTTTTGGAGGGGGGTGCGGGGGGAAGAGTAATATATGGAGCTACTCTCATGTAGAATAATGGAAATTCAGGGAAGACAAAAGGAGGATAACATATAGCCCGAAGCAACCTAAGCTTACAGAACTTATCAGTAAATGACTAATTAAAGTGAGTCTCAACAAATGTTAATTTAGCTAAATAGACAGATTACGAGTGTCTTATCCGCAACCAGCAGGTACTTCCATCTTCGTTACTTTGAATAGAAGGAATGTTGCTTAAGAATAGTAAATCATATACTGTGGCAGCTAAACCCAAGTGCCTGTCCTTTAAAGAGACATTTAACCATGTTGGAGTTTTTTTTCTTTTTTAATAACAACCTCTCTTGTTTGGGAATTTTTTTGAAAGAAGAAATGGTTTCATTTGTTAACTAATTGAGAACCATTACAAAATCAATGAAATAAAACAAGTTGAAATTATGTTTTTCAAATTTTACAGTCGGACAAGAAATAACGAACTGAAAAAATGGGATAAATTTGCAATAACATTATTTGCTATAGAAAAAGCGAGTGTAAAAGTAGATTGGAGAGACTTGAGAGGTTATCGCATGCCATTATATACCTTCAAAAAAATCTCTCAAACAATGGTACAGCCCTTAACCATTCCATTCCGTCATAAGCAACTCTCAAACCTGTCCCTAGGTGAGACTAATTAATTTTTTTTTTTTCACGCATCTACTCGAATGGATATTTGATTTTTTTCTTTAGAAGCCATCAAAAGTCTTGATAACTTGGTGATTGCATGACTCCCAACAAGGGTAAAGAAGAAATGCTACGGAGAAAATGCCCACAGAAAGTACAAGAGATAATTGATGAGACCCATTCACAAAGATTTATGGCCTGGAAAAACACTTCCAAGATAAATATAACAGCAAGTACTCGATAAATAAAGGAGATAAATTCACAAATATTTATGCTCTAGCAATTACTGGAAAAGATGAAAAAAGGAAACATACTCGCAACAGATAAATATAGGATGGATATAACATAGGGTTCAAATAAGGCAATCAAGGGAAGCAAAAGCAAGGGTACGAGAGCAGAGATGGGACACTCCAATAAGTATAATAGGATTACAGAAGCAGAAAATGCAGGCCTGGGCTCCTACTTAGCTATACCCCATTTGCTGTTGTTGCTGTGGTGGTTGATAATTAGCATACCCTGGATAGCTTCCATACATGTTGGGATCCTGTGTAGCAGCAGGAGGGTATCCATAATTCTCATACCCTTGAGCATACCCGTAATACCCCCCATACTGGCTTGGATCTGGCTGAGCCTGATGACCACCAACAAAAGCATTCAGTGCATCAGGATGATCTGGCTTAATATCAGAAACACCCCGATGTCGAGGTGGTGTAATATTACAGAATCCAGTTGGTGTTACCTGTTTGTTCGAAGGACTGCGGCCCCATGAAAGACGGACATTTTGTCCACCCAACACCGTACCATTTAGCATCCGCAGAGCTTCTTCGGCACAGCTCCTGGTGCGTGAAAAAGCATGTGGCACAATCAGACAGCTTGCTATAGACTCAAAAAATGCTTAATCAAGATGATTAGGAAGATCAAATTACCTGTCAGCAAATTGGACAAATCCACATCTCTTGCCTGCTGGAATCTTCACATGTATTAATTCTCCATAATTGCCAAAAACTTGCCTCAAATGATCATCTGTAACATTAGGATCCAAATTGCCGACAAAAATCTGCAGCAGGAAAAAAATGTCACCAACAAGCAGGGAAGCAAGTAATTACTACATCATGAAGAAGTACGCACAGTTGTGTTATTTGGATCATTCTCGTTCTGTGACCCTTGAGGATTCTGATAGGAAGCTGCAGTTCAAGGTAGAAGAGAAATAAAATGACGAAAAATAAAATGCAGGGAAGGGAAATTTTCATACATAAAGCACCATGAACAAATAGCGAACAAATAGATGAAATATGGAAGGCCCAATTTCCAAGTTTCATACGGAAATACAGCCAGTCATAACAGTTACCAGGCAAGTCTAAAATAATAGTTCACACTCCATCTGCTCTTCAGTTACAAGACACTTTTTTGGAGCCTTGTGAAGGCCTAAAATACAAGGCACATGTCTGACTGTATGGTACATTTATCATTTTTTCCAAAAAAAAAAACCCCCATTTAATTAGGATTATCAATTACAAGTCACAGTTAAATCACCATTTAATAAGGGACACTTTTGGAACAAGTTAAGCAATTTGTGACAAATTCATTATGTTCGACTAATTTAAACTAAGTTTCTTAATACTTGTTAAGAAGTTATTTGTCCATTATATTTAGGACCAAAGGGAGTATCCATATCCATATACTTCAGAACTCACGCAATCATAGGAAATCTTTGCACCACACATAAACCACAAAACTCCAAGACAAATTAAATACTATTAAAACTAAAGCAATAAATTCATATCTACAAGATGAAGCATCCACCGAGCTAGTTAATGAGTTCAACAGAAATATTTTGGCAAGTCCGACAGAAATACTTTTGCAAGGACGAGAGAAATATTTTGGCACCATTACAAATGTATCTGAATAGAGGCCATAACAGAGGCAAATATGCAGTGACAAATAATACATTTGCTGACGAGGATGTGCAGACAAATAAAACTAAAAAAGATACAAAGAGTAAGGATGCCGATGAAGTTGAGTGTTGAACTTAAAAATCATCCCACATCATTTGTTATCCAACCCTTTCCCACACTCTTGACATTTTCCACTTGCTAACAGCCAACTTTCACACAAAAGAAATGAGGTTTGGAGACGCCAATAGAGACAAAAGACGGAAGGCAGATGTCAAATACTGGTGCAGTTAAATGTTGCTGACAAGCTATTTTACAAGTTACTCGCCTAAATGGAAATGAAATAAAAGATAAACTAAAACTTCAATTATGAAGGTATAATATTAAGAAATTATCAGGCCGTAGAGAAGGAATTAAAATGTTGTGACCATGTAATAGCACAGCCTGTGAACTGCAGTTTCTCGCAAGATCAATCAGCCCACATTGGCACTCCTCCAATTTTATCTTAAGGACTGAAGATTGGAAACTGAAAGTAATGCAGCTAGGCAGCAGATGGAATAGCAAAAGAAACTATAAAAAGTATGAAAATGCGCTTTGGAACAAGGGAACACATCTAAAGAACTTTAAAGATGTAACTTTTTTGGCAAGCCGATAGGAATGAAATTTATGGAGTAAAGATAAAGAACGGCTGACTGAACAAATATATATAACTGGAATAGCCTTAAAACAAAACTTGGCTAAAAACTAAACCAGCCAAATGAAATGAAAAGAACTACTTGAAATTGTAGTGGAAACAGGAAAATGACGCGGAAAGTAACGGGCAAGACATAAATGGGAAACTGACCTAAGCAAGGCCATGCACTAAAATGGTAACCATTTCAGCTGAAAACAGTTCCAGGCTCCGAGATGACAGAGCCTCCTGACACCCTGCTTTGAGACAACAGGAGTACCATAAGATTTTAAGATTCTAGATCATTTATGTATCCGAAATTTTTAAAGGAAATTACAGGAAGAAATGACTCTGGATAGCACATCTTCTAATGCGTAACTGAAAGGAACCAAACTTAAACAATAAAATTTAGAATGCACATAATAAGTGACGAGCAAAATCTTAAATATAAATCAGCATTCTCACTATAACAAAGGAGAAACAGACAATCAGAAGAAAGTCAGCTTTGCTTTCAAACATCTTAGGGTAGCAAACCAAGCAGACATTCACAACAAAAGGCCAGAACATAAATCATGAACGAGAAAAACCTTTTTGCTGTCCCCCAAGGTTTTTGTTTGTGGCCGGTCCAATTCGCATGGGTCTTGTTGAGCAAAGAACCCCTTGCATCTCACTCATAGCTTGTATCTGTTCATTCTCATCCCCAAACTTGACAAAACCATAACCCTTAGTCCGCCCAGTGAGCCTATCAATTACCACTTTTGCGCCCTTAACTGAGGGATATCTGGCCCGAAATGTCTCCTGCAGCATGTAATCTGTGACATCGGCAGCCAAGTCCCCCACAAAAATTGTGTAATCTGGAGAATCATCATGACGCCTATCGCCCGAACTAAAAGTAGCCCAATTTAATCTAAAGTTTTGCCCACCGTTAGGCATAATTGTGCCATTATATGATTGAAGAATTCTCTCAGCAGCAGCACGAGTGAAAAACTCAATAAACCCATAACCTTCCGACGCATTAGTTTGCTTATTCCGAATGACTTTCACAGAAGCCACCTACAAAAAATGATTTCTTCCATCACAGAAAGATCGTAGGCCACCCGTGGGATTCAACAGGATAAATTGAGAAAATACAGTATACAAATCACCGACGGAATCCAGTTTTCATTCCCTAAATTATGTACTCGATTTGATACAAGTCCATCCCACCCCAGTACTAATCATATTCTACAGTGTAATTCCAGCGCTATTAAATGCTATATCTCCCGTCCATGGCTCTATCGAACCGAACCATACAGGAGGAGGAAAATCAAATAGCACAGCAATTTCAAACCAAAAAAAGAAATCAAAAACCAGGAAAATACAAAGGAATAATATTTACCTCACCGGTATGCGCAAAACAAGTATAGAGATAGCTCTCATCCATCCAGTACTGCAAATCACCGATCCAAAGGGTACGGACCTCATCGGCGCTGCTAGGCTGGACGTGTTGGGTGGGTTGCGGCGGAGCAACCGCCTGCTGCGGCGGCGGGGGCTGGGCAGAAGGAGCCCACATAGGCGGTGCCTGAGCCTGCGGTGGCATCATCATGTAGGGTTGCTGCTGCTGGTATTGCTGGGTGGGTTGCTGACCCATGTTTGGGGGAGCCATGCCAGGTCCAGGCTGCATCATCGTGAGGAAGAAATCTGGGATTCTCGAAAGGTAGAGAGTGAACGAGAAAGAGAGAGCGAATGTATCTCCTGGCTTGAGCTATATAGAGCCTCAAACCCTAACCCTAAAAAAGAAAAGGTGATCAGATTTTTATTTTGACCCGTTTTTCTGATAAGAAGTACCCAAAAGAAACAAAACTTGCTCTATCGTCATGGGCTTCGCTGGTGGCCTTTCATTGGATTGGGTCATTTTAAGCGATCATACCAAAAAATAAAATGGCATAAATAAAAGGTTTGGTGATATATTTTTTATTTAAAAAACTTTAACTGAGTTAGATTCTAGAAAATTATCAGATCCAATGCATGCCTCAAGGATAAAGATCATTTAAAAAATATTTATAAATTAGTAAATTGCTCATAAAAAATTCTCATGAATCCACGTATTTTTAAAATGAGACACATCCAATTAAATTAAATTAATCTTCATTGGCTAAGTTATAATTATTATAATAGTTTAAATGTAAAAATTAATTTATCATCGCATAATACTTATAAATTATAAAAAAATTTCATTACTACAGCATGAAATAAGTTATTTTTATTTCTATAAGTATATTTTTAAAAAATTAATTAGTTATACCATTACTAACATGAGAAGCGCATTGACTCTTTATATGATATGGTAATATTCAAAAGCACATTAAAATCATATTAAGGATATGCTTTCACCGAATTCAACAAAGAATTGAATCCTCTAAATATATTTTTACCAAATGTAAACTGAATAACTAAATATACACTGAATTTTAGATGCATTGAACTCTTTTGTTCTATTGAATATATTGCAAAAAAAAATTGTAAATTTATCGAAGGTTTTGTAAAATTAACCGGGCCATTAAATGATAAAATATTGGCGATTTGTTTTTTTTTTCCCCAACAGGATGAATTGTAGTTTTTCAACTATATTCAACCTAATATTAAGTAAATATATTTAATTATATATTTTATTTAAATTTGGGGCTGTTTGTAAACTTTTTTAACTTTTATATTTTTACCTTACAATTATCTGGTTCTGTAATGATATTAATAACACGAAAGCAATTATGTAAAAGCAGTAGAGAATCTCTCAATACTTTCTCTTCGCATGACTCTCTCCAAATGCGTCCCCCTTCATTCGTTCATTTAATTGGCAATTTTGATTTGATGTGAAAAATTTATGATCGCATCATTAAGCCAAATATATTATTCATCTAACTGCTATAAAAAAATATATATTATGATCTCGTTTTTAAGAAAATTCTAATGATGATAATGAATGTGCAACCAACAAATCAAATAGAAAATAGACAATTAAGTTGTGAATATTATGTATCAAGGAATATATGAAAATTAAAATATTATGAGGATTTATTTCCAAAACATTGTATTATACTAAATTCAAAGTTGACTACCAAGGAGCATATAACACGACTAGTAAAGAATTATGCTAACTTAATCATTAGTTTTGAATTCAAATCTTAAATGTGTAACTATATTAAATATTTCTATAAATATGAAAGTTTAAAATATAAATATTAAAATATTAAATTAGATATAAATAAAGTAACTTTAATACTAAATATGAAAGTTTTTTCCTTTGAAACCTATTAATATAAAATGAAATTCGGGTAACCTATTTGTGGTTAATTTTCTTACTTGAAACTCATAGGTAATTTCCCAAAAAATAGTTCTTCAACAATTAAAAAAAATGAGTTGATTATCATTTACCATTATTGTTATTTTTTTTATTTTTTATACATGGCTTGTTTCTCAATCTTTTAGTGGCTACAGAAACAGTGCATGCATATATAAATTATGTATTATACATGCTCTATCTGCTTAAAAAATATAAGACATCTTTAATTAAATCTTACCTTCTAATAAAGTAATTATCTACCTTCAAATTAACTCTATCTTTTTATATTTACCTTTATTAAACATCCTATAATAAATATAAAGTTATTTATTAATAGGAACACTTTTGAAAAAAAAGACAATGATTACACCTCGAAAGATTAAAAATATTTTATATTTTTTTAATATCTAACTTTTTAAAAATATTTTATATTTTTTAATGGAGGGATTATATCAATAATAGTTTATGCTAGTTAGAAAAGGTCTTAAAATCTTGTTTGATTCTACCTAAAATGTGTTTTCAAACATTTGTTTTCATTTAACATAAAAAGATTGCATTCACCATTTGTCTATTTAACAAGTCAGAGAACATGCATCTCAATCCTCACTTGTTCGTTGTACAAACCAATGAACATACATCCAAAACATAATCAATGTGCATTCTTGTGGGGATCAACCACCATTTGTCATTTAAATTTACATGTTGAATGAAAAAGAATACATTTTATAAACATACATATTCATGAACCATTGAATAATGAAGAATCAACAAAACCTTTGAAGTTGTTAAATTGTTCAAGAGTTGCCATGCATAGATGCCTAAGCCTATGGAATAAAATCCTAGTTGAGTCTTTACCAAAATGCAATTGAACAGCTCATGTAGGTTGATGGCTTTCATACCAAGTCATAATTTTTTGATCACATTTGAAAAATAATTAATCACTTTTTGAGGCTCGATCGAATTAAATTATAAAATTAATCAATTCTATAATGTGATAAAAAGTTTGAAAAGGAGACTTAAGTTGATTTACTTGTATAATCAAATGCCAAATACTTGAGGTTTTTTTCCCCTCTTAATAAAAAAAGTCAAAGTATTTAAAATTTGATTGATACAAGTAAATTGACAAAAGTTTTGTCCCTTCAAACAAACACACCCCTACACACCCTATATTTTACATCTCGTATGTATTTTGTTTTTTATTTTTTAAATGATAACTTTTTTGCTATCTTTATCAATTTCATTTTCATTTCTTATCATTACTCTCTTTAATGCTCCTTAATGTTATTTTTTTTGTTGTTTCTAGGTTGGAAAACATTTTATTTTATATAATTTTAAGTTACTTTTCATTGAATTTTACATTATCTTTATTTTTATTTAAAACTTTAATTAATTATACATAACTAAAAATATACTTATCTTATCACAACTGGAGACCACAATATATCACTACATGGAATACTGCCTTCTTTCAATTCAGGGTTGGTCCAGTTTTTACTAGTTTGATTTTAACAACTAACAAGTAAAATATAAATTTAAAGATTTTAAATATATGGTCTAGGAGAATTGTGTAGAATTAAAATATATCTTTTTTCAATTCAACTAAATTTATTTGGAATGGTTTATCTTCTTCATAATAAGTGAATTTTAATATGATAATTAAATTAATAATAATTTATTATATTTTTTGACCAAAATAATAATTTATTATAGAAAAATAATATATATAAAAGATATACATGTGTTGATTTAATTGAAAACAAATACATTAAATATATAAAGCTGAATATATAAGGTTTTCCTTTTATATTATACTCTCTCTGTTAAAAATATAAATTATTTTTAATCGAATCTCATTCTTCAATAAATTACTTACTCTGGTTAAAAATTATAAAGCATTTTTAACCGAATCTTACCTCTAATAAAGTAATTACCTATTTTCTAATTAACTCTATCTTTTTATATTTATTTTTATTAAACATTTTATAATAAATACAAAATCATTATCAATAGGGGCACTTTTAAAAAAACTAATAATTACACCTTGAAAGACTAAAAATATCTTACATTTTTTAAAATTTAACTTCTCAAAAAATATTTTACATTTTTGAACAAAGAGAGTAATTGTTAAAATCATATGTATTTATTTACTTTTATTTAATATGATATTTTATTTTAAAATAAATAAAAAATGAGTTACTAATGATATTTTTAAAAATAAAGATTAATTAAGCTTTTAAATATTAAAAATATCTTATATTTTTTAACATCTAAATCTCAGAACTTTATGCATGCCAAATCCTTCCTAACCAGACTAGTTATCAAATATTTTTATACAATATTGCTAAATGCTAATTATACATTTATACATTTAATTGTATTGAATTGAATTAAGTTAGGGCCAGTTTGTTTTAGTTTATTTTATACAAAAAGTCACTTATTTTTTTTTAAATTATTTTATAAGCTTTTATAATATCTGTTTAAACTTTTAAAAATAATTAAAATTTTAAAAAATATATTTTTAATTTTTTAAAAAATTACTTTGAGTATCTTTTAAAAATAATTTAATACGATTTATAAAAGAAATTGTTTTAAAGAAACAGTATATATTAACATATCATGAAATTTTAAATTTTAAAATAATTAAAAAAGATATCATAAAATTTAATAATAATTAACTGATCATTACTTGTTTATTATTATAACTAAACATATCTTATTATTTTTACAAAATAAATTTATTTTTATACAATTTTTAAACTACTTAAAATTACTTATTACTCCTAAAGTTTGAAGGCACTGTTTAGTGTAAATATTAATTAACACATGCCCATTTTAATTGGTTCGTGACAATCACTCTCTCTGGGATTCGCCACGCTAGTGTCATTCCTCGTGCAAAGTCATCTTCCTCTCTGCTCCTCGTCCTGCTAGAGTTTCTCGGCTGTTCTCAGTCTCGTCGTCTTGTTTCCTAGTTTCCTCATTCATCTTCTTCTGATTCAGCAATGGCTCAAGCTGTTGAAGAATGGTATAAGCAGATGCCCATCATTACGCGCTCCTATGTCACAGCTGCAATTGTTACCACCATCGGCTGTTCCCTTGATGTATACTCTCTTCTCTCCCTTTTTATTGATTTAAATTTGCTTTTTTTGTTTTACTTTATGATTTTGTTAGTTCTTCTCAAACACTGGCGATAAATCTTTTTAACTCAAAACTATCCAAAGATTATTTCAGCTGGTATGGGTTATCTTTGCAACTTAGGTTCAGTTTGTGGGATTGAAATATTTGGAATATCAGTTCAAGAAGGGAGTGCAACGGACAGTCGGTGGGATAATCTTGATCGTGTAAAAGAGTGAAAAGATTTATTGGGTTATTGTAGTTTTCGTCTTTAATCATGGTGCTTCTCTGGCTCTCTTGAGAAAGAAACGTGTTA